CCCCGGAGCCTCAAAATGACCCAAAACGGGGCTGTGGGCATAAAAAAAATCCCCAATTTTTTGGGTCTAAAAAGAGGAAAATCGGGAAAAATCAGGAGTGGAATGTGTGGCCTATGGACGGGGCGTGGCCTAATGGGAGGTGGGCGTGGCTATTGTTGTCGTGGTGACGTCATGACGTTACGAGGGTGGTCAGGGCGGAAATGGATGCTCTGGGGGCGTGGTCAAAATTGCGCGGGATCTACAAAATGGCGGAAGGGGGCGTGGCTACAGCAATGGCGGGAAAAGGCGTCCTCCCATGAGGGGGCGTGGCCTCCTGTGGGCGAGGCGGGGAGCAACGGCGGGAAAGGGCGTCCCCTCATGAAGGGGCGTGGCCAAGGCTGGGCGTGACCACAACGGCGGCAGCGCGGGGGGGGGTGGCTCTGTGGCCGCCGGTTCAAGCGCGGGTCTTGTGGCGCTCTGTCGCGATTTGTCGCGATTTGTCGCGCCGGGCCCTCTGCTCCAGGCCCGCCCATGGAGGCCGCGCCGCGGTTGATGCCCGGGGTGGGCCTGCCGGAGTCTCTTCCGCCAGCGCCTCCCCCCGCTGCTGCCACCAGCGGGGACCCTCCACCCTCAGGGCCACCCTCAGGGCCACCCTCAGGGCCACCAGCGGGGCCACCTCAGCACGACACCGGCGACGTCCTGCAGCAGATCATGGCCATCACCGACCAGAGCTTGGATGAGGCCCAGGCCAGGTACGGGCAGGGGACAGCGGCAATGGGGAGCGGGGACAGCGGCACCGCCGTGACTCAGCTCGGGGACACTGAGGGGACACCGAGGGGACACTGAGGGAGGACTTTGAGGAGGGAACTCCCCCGTCATTCCCGGCTTTCCCGCTCCATTCAGGCCCCCGCCTCCCGGGTGATGCTCCCGCTTCACACCGAGCCTTCCCCGCGTCCTTCCCGCTTTGGGGAAAATTCACCGGGATTTTGTCCCATTCCCAGTGGGTTTTTCCCCCCGTTTCTATAAGTTTTGCCCAATTCCTGGTGTTTTTTCCTCATTCCCACTGGTTTTGCCCTATTCCCGACAGGTTTCGCCTCATTCACACCAATTTTCCCCCATTCTTGGTGGTTTTGCCCCATTCCCAATGGGTTTTTGCCCTATTCCTGGTCTTTTTTCCCCATTCCCAGTGGGTTTTTGCCTCATTCCCAGAAGTTTTTCCCCATTCCTGGGGGGTTTTGCCTCATTCTCAGTGTTTTTACCCCATCCGCAGTGGATTTTTACCTCATTCCTGCCGCTTTTGCCCCATTCCCGATGGGTTTTCCCCATTTCTGGTGAATTTTTCCTATTCCCGATAATTCTGTCCCATTCCCAGTGGGTTTTTGCCCCATTTCCAGCTGATTTTTCCCTATTCCCAGCAAGTTTTTCCCTTTCCCAGCAGGTTCTGTCCTATTCCCAGGAATTTCACCCCATTCCCTGTGGATTTTACCCCATTCCCGGTGTTTTTCCCCCATTCCCGGCGGTGTCAGGCGGGACAATCCCGGAATTCCCACCGGGAATGGGGCAAAACTGCTGGGAATGGGGAAAACCTTTCGGGAATGGGGGAAAAAAAAAAGAATGGGGGGAAAAAAACCCCTCAGGAATGGAAAAAACCCAATGGGGATGGGGAAATCCCCTCGGAAATGTGGTAAAACCCCTCAGGAACGGGACAAAAATTACCGGGAATTGGGGGAAAAAAAGCCAGGAATGGGAAAAACCCACTGGGAATGGGGAAAATCTCAGTGGGAATGGGGCAAAACTGCTGAAAATGGGGGAAAAAAAATCTCCAGGAATGGGAAAAACTGCTGAAAATGAGAGGAAAAAAAACGGGAACGGGGAAAAAAACCCCATTGGGAATGGGAAAAAAAACCACCAGGAATGAGGGAAAACCACCGGGAACGGGTGAAAAGTCACAGAAAATGAGGGAAATCCACTGGAAATGGGGAAAAAAAAAATCATTGGGAATGAAATAAAAGCCCACTGGGAATGGGGTAAAAAAAAGCCAGGAATGGGAAAAGTGGAACAGTTCAGGAATTATGGCCAGGAGAGGGTGGGGAACCCCAAATTTGGGATAATTTGGAATAAATCCTCCAGGAATTGCCGAATTGTAGGGAAAAGCAGAGGTGGGAATGAGCAGAATTCCAGGATTTTGGCGTTTTTTAATTAATTGCGGGTAATTAACGCCTCGTTAGCTGCTGCTGCGGGAGGGAAATGCCTCAAATCCTATAAAAATTGGGGATTTTTTTTTTTTATTTTTCCCTTCATTCCGGCGGTTTTTGGGGAGCTGGGAGTGGTCCCGACTCCCCGGGTTGATAAAATTCTCTTTTTTTTATTTTTTTTTTAATTTTTTTTTTTATCTCGCCTCAAAATTCGGCCCCTTTTGGGTGCGGCTGTTTTCGTGGATAATTCGGAATTTCGGGAGTTTTTTTTTCCCCTCCGAACCCTCAAAAATCGGGATTAAAGTAATTTTTTTGGGGGGGTTGTTTCTTGAGGTGGAATTGTCAATTTTTCTCCCTCAAAAAATTCTTTTTTTCTTTTTTTTTTTGCCCTTTTCTGCCGTTTTTTTGGGCATTCTATTCATTTTATTTTATTTTAATTTTTATTTTATTTTTATTTTCACTTTATTTTTATTTTAATTTTTATTTTTTATTTTATTTTTATTTTATTTTTACTTTATTTTATTTTTATTTTTATTTTAAATTTTTTTCCTTTCCTTTCTGGAAATTCCCGCCGATTTTTTTTCTTTTTTTTTTTTTCTTTTTTAGGGTAAAAATTCCGAATTTTTGAGCGGGAAAAAAAAAAAATTCCTCAGGATTTGAAGGGAAAATTCCGGGATTTGGGGGCGTGGCTGAGCCCGGATTGGGGAAATTGGCAGGGCGGGAAAATTGAGATTAAAAATGGATTTTTAATTTAATTTTTTTGAGGAGGGGGGATAAAAGTGATCAAAATCAGTTTGAAAAAAAAGGAGATTTTG